AGGTATTCTTTCTGGTATTCTTTGCTTTCAGCCAAGATCCATCTGACATTGGCAATGATATCATGGATGTTTCCAGCATCCTCTTCTGTATTCAACTTGAACCTCTGGCAATTCTCTGTCAATGTATGGTTGCAGCCATTTTTAAATTATCTTTAGCAAAAGTTTACTTGTATGCTATATTAATCGTATTTTCCAATGATTGTCGCTTTCTTTTGGGTCACCCCTCTTTGGAATGGGCACAAATATGGATCTCTTCCAGTCAGTTGGCTAGGTAGTTGTCTTCCAAATTTCTTGGTTTAGTACCTCCAGTGCTGCATCAGTTTGTTAAAAGATTTCAGTTTGTATTCCATCAATTCCCGGTGCCTTGGTCTTTGCCAATGCCTTCAGTGCACCTTGGACTTCTTCCTTCAGTGTCATTGGCTCTTGACTATATGCTCCCTCTTGAAATGGTTGAACATCAACCATTTACTTTTGGTACAGTGACTGTGTATTCCTTCCATCTTCTTTTGATGCTTCCTGCATCGTGCAATATTTTGCCTATAGAATCCTTCAGTATTTCAAGTTGAGACTTTATTTTTTTTTTTCCCTCAGTTCTTTCAGTTTGAGAAATGCTGAGTGTGTTCTTTCCTTGTGGTTTTCTAACTCCAGGTCTTTGCACATTTCATTACAATATTTAACTTCATCTTCTCTAAATGTCCTTCGAAAAGATGAAGGTAGCAAAAAGTACTGCCATTAACCAGTTGCGTTCATCCTGACTCATGGCAACCCCATCTGTGTCAGAGTAGAATGGTGCTTGGTAGGGTTTTCAGTGGCTGATGTTTCGAAAGTAGGTTGCCAGGCGTTTCTTCCAAGGTTTCTCTGGGTGGACAGAAACCTCTAACCTTTCAGTTAGGAGCCAAGTGTTTCATCTGTTTGCACCACCTAGGGGCTCTGCTATTACCATGTTGTTGTTGATGATAAGTGCTGTTGAGTTGGTTCTGGCTCATAGCGACCCTGTATAGGGCTTCTAGGGAGTGGCTGGTAAGTATGGACCACCGACCTATGGTCCAGTTCTTTATCCCACAGTGCCACTCCAGGACTCCGTTGTTATCATAGCATCCCCATTTTCTTCTTCATCTGATAGTGAACCTCTGAGTCAAAAGGGGAGAAACAGTTGGGAAATGACTGCCATGAAGTCAGCAGCAGTCACTTTGAATGATGTTGCTTTTTACTGGATTAAATATCCAGGAAGCAGTAACTGAACATCTGCTGGTTGACTTTGGTTTAGAATCCTCAAGTGTGGTTTTACCAAGGAAGCATTATCTTTTTGAAGTTGAAGGATCTAAATACTGTTTAAGTTAAAATTAGACTCTGAACACTGAGATTCTCCTAGGCTCACCTGGAGAGTGCTAGCATATTCAACTGTGTAGTTGTCTTTGGAGCTTGCTCTTACTCCTTTAAGGCCATTTTAGTAAATGACAGTCCCTGTGAGACTTCTGTGTCGCGTGGGCTAATCTGACCGAAGGGAATTAGAGCAGCTATGAAGGCTGAGGATGCCCTGAGTGCACTCTGGTCATATTTTCTTGCAGTTCACCAGGGGTCTGTAAGGAAAACAGATTGTCTAACAAATTCCTGATCCTGTCTCCCTCTGGGCTCCTTCCCAATTCCCAGTCACTTCATGACATGACTGCAACATATTTTGTCTCTTCTCCAAGCCCAGATTTCAACTTTTGAAAAAGGTATGGAATATAACGTAAACAGCATGAGACTTGGAATTATGTAGATCTGGGACTTTAGGACCAGGCTGTATCCAGAGTGATGCTCAGTAAATTTGTGAACTTCACAGAGATCTGACTTCCTCTTCAGTATAGTGTACAGTATTATCAGAATACATATTTGATATTTATAAAGGCATGACCTCTGCATTAAGCAGAAAGTTACTTATCTCTTGGAGTTTCATCATCTTCTTTTTTTTTTTAAAAAAAATATATATATAATGCTGGTTTCTGGTAAAAAGTTAGCACACTAGCATATAGTCCTATTCAACAATTTCTACACAGATTGTTCAGTGATGTTGGTTACATTCTTCACAATGCTTGAGCATTCTCATTATTTCTATTCGGGTTATTCCGTTTTCATTAATTCAGTCTCCCTGCCCTGCTGCATTCTCATCTTTGTTTTAATGTTTGGTCATTTGGTCTCATATCGGTGATTTTTAAAAGAATAATATTATTTTTTGAGCTAATTTGTAATTTTGCTACAAGTTGACCTCAGGGGGTTGATTCAGGGTAATGGTCTCTTTTTGTTTGTGTTTTTCTTTTAGGAAGTTAAGGTTCTATTTTCTATTTTTCTCCCGCATATCAGAATCCATCTCTTATGACTGGGATAAGAGTGGTTGATAGTGGTAGTAGGGAACCTTCTAGTTCTGGTCTCAGTGTAGATGATGCTATAATTTGTGTAGGCTTTTAATGGGTATACTAGTCTCTTCTTTAAGTCTTTCATTTTTTTTCTTTTGTTTTGTTCAGAACCACTGGAGACCAGTAGTTGTATCTTCTTAGATGGTCTCTTACAGTCTTGACTTGATCACTTATAAAATAGAGATTTAAGTGTGCCCATCTTCCTGTATGATAGTGCGAAGTAGAGGCGATGCATACCCTTTTCACAGTTGTTTGGTGCTATCAAAAGTTGCTTCCAACTCATAGCGACCCTTTGCACAAGAAAATGAAACACTATCCAGTCCTGTAATAGCCTCACAATTACTACCTTTGAGCTCATTGCTGCTGCCACTGTGTCTGTCCATCTCGTTGTGGGGGTGGGGTATCTTCCTCTTTTTCACTGACGCTCTACTTTTCAAAGCATATTGTCCCTTTTCAGGAACTGGTCCCTCCTGATAACATGTTTGAAGTATGAGAGATGAAATCTCCTCATCCTGACTTCTAAGGAGCATTCTGGCTGTACTTCTTCCAACACAGATTGGTTTGTTCTATTGGCAGTCCATGGCAATTTTAATATTCACCTGCAACACCATAGCTCAAATGCATCAATTCTTCTATGGTCTTCCTTATTCACTGTCCAACTTTCACATGCATATGAAGTTATTGAAAATACCATGGCTTGGGTCAGTCTCACCTTAGTCCTCAAATTGGCATCTTTGGTCTTTAACACTTTAAAGAGGTCTTGTGCAGCAGATTTGCCTAATGCATTATGTCGTTTGATTTCTTTACTGCAGCTTTCTTGAGTGCTGATGGTTGATCTAGCAAAAATGAAGTCTTTGACAACTTTAATCTTTTCTTCATTTATATGGAAATTGTTTATTGGTCCAGTGGTGAGGATTTTTGTTTTCGTTACATTGAGGTGCAACCTATACAAAGACTGTTGTCTTTGATCATCATCAGTAAATATTTTCAGTCCTCTTCACTTTCAGCAATCAAGGTTGTATCATCTGCATATTGAAGGTTACTAATGAGTTTTCCTCCAATTCTGATGCCGTGTTTTTCTTCAAATAATTCATCTTCTTGGATTATGTGCTCAGCATACTGATTGAATAAGTATGGTGAAAGGGTACAACCCTGGTGCACACCATTTAACCATTCGGTATCCCCTTGTTCTGCATCCTCTGGTGAACTGCAAGGAGATCTGACCAGAGTGTACTCAGGACTTCCTGTATACGGATCAGCTACCTTGATCTGTATATAGACTCTTCATGAGCATATTAAGTGTTCTGCAATACCCATTCTCGTAATGCTATCCATAGTTTGTCATGATCTACACAGTCAAAAGCCTATGCATGTTCAGTAAAGCACAAATAACTATTTTCTGGTGTTCTCTGCTTTCAGCCAAGATCCATCTTACATTAGCAGTGGGTGCTAAATAGATATTGTTTGCACGAGTGGCTGAAATTTCTTTTCAGTACTGTGGCCCCCTGTCCTTATTGATTTAGATTCACTGCAAATATGTCCATATCCATTGTCTTTAGTTTCTAAGTTCTGTGACAACCTTGTAGATACCTTATAACACACTAAACAATGCTCCTTAAATAATCATGTAAGTAATTGCTTAATTTTGATTCCTTTCCAAGAACATACACTCCATGTCTGATGACATATCTGTCTTATTCAACTACCATCTAAATTGGCACATGGTTAGCACTGAACAGTTTTGTTGCATGAATAAATAATAAGTGACCACGTCTTGGTTATCTCGTACTGTTACAAAGAGATACCACAAATGGATAACCTTAATAAATATATATTTTTAAAAAGGTTACAAGTTCAAATTCTAAGCACTAGTTCTAGAGGAAGACTTTCTCTCTCTGTTGGCTCTGGGGGAAAGCCTTCATCTCTTCATCTTTTGATTTGTGGTTGTATGCCCTTGAGTCAGTCCCAACTCATAGCCTCCCTATATAGGATTTCTGAGGAGTAACCGGTGAGTTTGAACCACGAATCTTGAATTCAGACCAACCTTGTGGTCCAGTGCGTATCCTACAGTGCCATACCAGGTTCCTTGGAGATCTCTTGTGTCTTGACATCTATTTTGCCCATCTTTGCTTCCAGTTTGCTTGTTTAATCTCCTTTATATTTCAAAGAGATTTACTCCTCAAGATACATGCTACACTAATCTTGATTTATTAACATTACAAAGATAACAGAGGCCCAAGTGGGATTGTAACCTAAGGCACAGAAGTTAGGATTTATAACACATATTTGGAGTTGTTGTTGTCAAGTGCTGTTGAGTCTATTCTGACCCATAGTGACCCTGTATAGGGTTTCCGAGGAGCAGCTGGTGAGCTTGAAACACCAATTTTGCTGTTCAAATGGCTTTGCAGTCTGGCGCATTAACCCACAGCGCCATACCAGGACTCCACATATTTGGAGAGTGGGCACAATTCAATTCATAACAACCACAACTAGTTAGCTGCACCTTTCTTCTTTGCACTTTTCAAAAATGTTTTGTGACCGTCTTTGCATACCTGCTCATCTTCACGTTGTCTTTGTACTTATTCACCGTAGGTTGAAGGGCCACAATGTCTGGTGAAGAACAGGAACCAAGGAGCTACTATGTGGGCGTGGACGTTGGAACTGGCAGTGTTCGTGCTGCTCTTGTGGACCAGAAGGGGCTTCTCATGGCTTTTGCAGACCAGCCAATTAAAAAGTGGGAACCTCAGTTCAACCATCACGAGCAGTCCTCCGAGGACATTTGGGCTGCGTGCTGTGTTGTCACAAAGGTATGGGCAAAATTGTGGGGTTCTCTCCTTGTGCATGTTCCCCTGCACTCAGCTGCTGCCAGAGACTCCTCCAGAGAAACTTCAGGTGCAGAGGTAAACAAAGGTTTTGCCTTTAAGCAACTCACAGTCTAGTGGCAGAGATCCAGTATGGTAGGTACTGGGGGGATAGGAACTGTGGGTGGAACTAAGGAAAGAGATGACTCTCTGGTGGGGCTCAGGGAAGATGTGACAGAGGATGTGGGACCTCGGGTGTGTCTTAATGTGGAACAACTCAGTGAAGTCATAGCTGACATCTGTTGTGCCTTTATTATGTGCCACATGCTGTGTAAAACATGTCATGTCTGTTGTATAGTTGAATCCTCACAGTGACCCAATCAAGGTTATTGCCTGGAAGAAAGACCCAGTCATCTACTTTTTTTTTTTTTTTA